AGATATGGAATTCCATAGAATTCCCCTTACGACGTGGGAGCTTGTACCCAAAATGTCTCAGAAATCACGTGATTTGATTGTTCTACTAACTGCCATGCATGACCTGATCCAACTCCAGTGTTTGTTCCTATCTTTTCCCCATCTTACTATTGAGAGGGGTGTCTTGGTAATCCTGGTATCGCCCTGGCAGTGACTGAAACGGGGGGTCCATATCCATTCCCATATGTTTCTGCACAAAACACTGCTATATTATGATAATGCACGCAATACCTACTCCTCTCTAAAATACTACTTCCCCCTTTGGAAAATGCATCAGGCCAATGTCTGGAATGCTTGCTAATGTGTCTGGAAGCTTTTGGTTGGCCCCAGCACTGTAAACAGATAGTGTGTTGACCTAGAGCCCTGGATAAGCCCTTGTGATTGACAGGAACGAGCATGGGTCGGGAAAGGCTGGCCACGTGTCATTATTTACACTGTTTACGCCCACTTGTTGTGCTATGAAGGCCCTGGATGAGTGAGTCACGGTGATTCAAGCATGCACAGCGGGGATTTCCCGTGTATTTTTGGTATCGCCGATGTATTTCCGTATTGTTGAATATTGTTGAATTCAGTGCCCCCCACTGCAGACCACGCCCCAAAAAGGACACTTTCCCCCAAAACATACTGAGAAGTCTTCCTACGAAGGTTTCCGTCTGATTTATGCTGAAAAAATGAAAAAGACATTGAATAGGGATCGCTTTATCCACAAATAAGTCTGAGACAATTTGAGCACAAGGTGCTGCGTTGGCTGTTAAGTTGGACACGGTGCCTCGTCGCAGGGAAATTTTTAAAAAGCCGAAAGATTTCTCATTTAATTGTCCTGTCCACATTTGAAAAGTATCATTGATGTTCGGGTATTTCCAGCCGTGTCTGTACGCACAATGAGATATATATTTTTCTTTTGCTTGTTGTTCACATGCAACACACTGTTGCGCCCTGACTTTTTAAGTCACTAGCATGTTTTCAAAGTGACAACCAACATTAACAGCCCCAATGTAAATCTAAACATAGAATCCACCTAGTGACCCTTGTGACCCTTGGAGATATATATACAATGACACTTGACACGTTCTTGTGACATGTGACCCGCGTCATGATCTGTTTGTTATATGGATGATACCTGACCTAAGATTTATCAGGAGTCGTCAGGGAATATTTGGTCACGGAACCAGACTATGAATATCTCACCTTGAAAGTTAGAGTAAGACATTCAATCCACGGGCGTCACATTAGGAAATCTGAACTTGCAATACCTTTGTGCCGAATGAAGCTACTGCGGCGAGTTTTCCGTGCCGAATTCAAAGGTGGTGATTGGCATGTTTACCATTGTAAGTATTGATACCAGAGCGGATTTGATGAACAATTGCTAGCAAGCTTTTTATTAGTTTTGTATTTGGCACAGTCAGATGGCCGTCTGGGGGATTCAGTGACCGCTTTGGGCTGCCTACAAAATTATGGGTCCTGATCATTCATATAATGGCTAAGATATTCAAAAGAAGCCGTTTTTAATTAATCACTTACCTGGTCCATCTTATTAATGTTATATGCCAAATGGGGTGGTGCCAAACTGTTTGGGTTCCATGCCTAAATTTCTTTTTTTTTAATGTTGTTTGAAGCATTTTAATATAATAAATCACGAATTGGTCAATGCACAAGAAATTAATCTGGATTGATCCTTTATTTCAATGTTTCCATATGTGTTTGCGGTTCCCAAGAGCGCCCTCTATTGTGGAGGTTTTGGATATTGTTATGGGGTGTTATACATTTAAAGGCATGTTGGACTAGTTTCGACCTTCCTGGCATTTACTTGTGAAATACTTGCAAATTTAACCTAACTCTGCGGAAATATAGGAGCTTCTTGTAAACTGCAAGAACGTTCCAACTTTGTATCTCCCGTGTTAGGCAGAGCAAAAGTAGAAAACAAGTGCGAATTTTAGGGCCTTTTAATTGAACGTGAACTATACCGGAATTGACTGGTTCCGCACTTACCCATTCCGCTATTTCAGAAAAGAATGGGCTCGTTTCAAGAACCTGTAAAAAGAATGGCCAGTGACTTGGTTCTAATTATCTTTGGCAGGTCACTTAAATGTCATAACGAAAATAACTTTTCATATGGGTCATTCTATAAATTCGGGGTCCATGTTCTCTGTGACATTTATGGTGTCCCTGTTATACTTGATCTGTGTTATTCGACATGGAAAAAGTATTTGTATTTCATGAAATTTGCATTAGTTCATCACTCTTGGGATTAGAAAATACGCACTAAACTTACAAAATCACATGTCAGATGTTACAGGGACACGAAAAACATTGGATCCCTAATTTTACAGAATGACCCTACAAAACTATTGCAGTAGATTAATATTCATGAACGTTTGTTTTCACTGCCCGTGCTTACGTAAAAACGGCATTGCACAACGTTGCATAGATTTACCTACTTGCAGTGGATGGGTTCCAGATTCCGTTGAGTTGACAGCGCGCAGTTGTTGTCAGCAAAGTATAGATAAAAGATTATAATCTTTCGTAACTGAAGTAGAATATTGCTTTAAGTTTATTACTTATTAATTACAAGGTTGTGTACATATTTTCATCAGTTTTATTTCGGCTTTTACCGACGGGATACCATAAAATTTCAAACCGTAAATGTTCATCTGCGTACAAGACTCTTTAATTGCACTGTTCTTCATGTATTTTAGAGTTTCGGAAGTGATGGGTCAATTTTTGGAAGGATGTTTCTCTTCAACGTCAGGTGATTTTTTTCTGTTTCAATAAATTGATATACTAGCAAATATTTTCCAAAGCCCCTTTACTGAGTTGGATTTATTTAAGAAGTAACTGCATGAAAAATAGTACAAATTCTAAAATCTTTGCTCGTTATTTTTCCTATCCAAGGGTTCTGGACGTGCACCATCAGGGGTCAACTTTCAGGCTCTATTGCCAAAAAAGACCGTGACCGTGTACAATATTTGATAATGCCCGCTGAGAGGTGATAATGCCCACTGTGTTAAATCACGCGCTGGCACATGGATGCAAGACAGTAAAGTCACCCATTAGCTGTACCGACGCCTGTTTGGGGATTTTACTGAGGGCAGTTTCATGTATATTGGATTTAGTATTCCGTAGCCGATTGAGGTGAATTGAAGGTCCCAATAAATACTGGAGTAGCTCCCTTGACATGCACTCTTGCTGGCTAAATAATAACCTGGAACCAAATAGAACCCAGGACCCCCAGGGAGAACAGTTCTTCGATAACTGATTGGCATACCCTGATAAATTAAAATGAAAATCAATCAATACAAATGCACGGAATACGAATTCTGCCATCACAAACTGTGGCGCCGAATGCATGGTCGCACACGGCCACCCGTGCTGAAAAAAGGGCCTTTCTGTCGGGCGCTATTGGGAAAGCGGGAAAGATTTAGCGGAACAAGGCAAACTTCCTACATGTGCCTCTATTTAAAAAAAATGCATGGTAGCATTTGTCTTTCTGATGACTGCTGCGGATTGTTTACATAGTGTCTTGGGTAACCAGATAATTTCTCAATCTCGGAGTGCGGAACCGGCCAATTGGTTGTAGTTTGTGTGAACTATGTTTAGTCAACTAGAGCGTTGAAACTTATTACTTTGGCCCGCTCCTGTCAGTCATAGATACTTGACATTATTCATAAGGTTAGAAATTAAGAATCCAAGAAAGGGCCCGAGAATAGGCAAGTGTAACAGATATTGAGCTAAACATCTTTTCTAGGCCATGGAGTAGAGCGGCAGATGCAGAATTGCTGGCACCGTGTTGACCTTCTTGGGTGCTTGGTTGTTTCGCTTGTTGGTAAAGTTAGCCCACTGGGCTCTCATTTTCAGCTGTTTGTTGGGTATTTTCGAAGACGCCTCCTTAGGCAACGTGGGTGTTGTACAGTTGTTCTATTTAAATTTGAAGCATAATTAAGTGGTGGTGATATCACTCTCACCACCGGCTCATAATAAACACTTACTCACAGAGATTAAGCCCACGATGTAACAGTAAACATAATTCCCTACAATCATAAATGACCGCGGCAAAAGCCGAAGAGATGAGAATTTGGGGCTTAGGCCCAACACTAAAATTTAGTTTCACTTGTCCATACAATTCAGACATTATCATATTGCGAATTAAATTACAACTAGTTTTGGGAAGCCATTCCAAGCGTCACTGAAGCAAAGAATTAGGCTTGGTTATTTCGGGCTCGTATATCAAACTAGTCAACTTTTCTCTTTCGACGGCCGTCACAAATGACCTTTCAGAATACATTCAGCCCTTTTTTGCAGTCAAACATGGTAGTTTGCCATCAGCTACAGAGTTGCCTTATCGGTGAAACACACATGAACTCCGACCCCATAGGCTCAAAGGTAAATTGGCTTAACTGCGTAAGTTGCCCGTCGTTAACAAGACTACATGGAAAAAAATTATCTCCATTCCAGAGAGAATTAAGTGTAAAATAATCCTAAGCTTGTCAATTCTTGAACTAGCTGAATGAACTTTGTTATCCCCACGTACAGCTGAGCACCAATCCCATGCATATAGGTACTGAAATGCTTGGCTCCGTTTGGAACATCAAAGTTTATACCGAGTGTGACGGTCATTTAAAAAATCAAAATCTTGCTGATTTTTTACGGCTACGCCATATCATTGTTGTATTACACCTTCCTCACAATAGTACTACATGCAAGCCTATATCAAAGAATTACCACATCAAGACAGGACGATTAATTCTATGGTTTGAAATTTGGATGCACCTTTTGTGCACTACTCTTCTTCAATGTATGAAAACCTTTAGGAAACCTTGTGGGTCTAAGCATATTGCAAGGTGCAGTTTTGTGAACATTTAAAATTTCAAGTAAACCGTTCTAAACAAATGAGGTAAAGGCTCATATATCATTCAGATATCCCAGATATCAGAGTCCCATCTTTGTTGGGATTCTATAAGTCTAACTTGGACTGTAACAACACACCGATGACACGTTTGGTGGCATGGAAAAAAAATGCGGAAGTTGTTTTCAGATCTTCTAAAAGCCAAAACGAACACAGACGAAAATACCCCGACTACTTTTAATATCAAGCCATGTGCCCTAATCCCTTCGAATTTCCACGCCCCCATGATTTCAGGGTAGGCTGGGCCCGCCGGCACGGATTTACACCACTGCTCAATTGCTCCAGCCTACAGTTACAAGGAAACAGCCGCTGGCACTGAAGTGAGGGAAACAGGCACTCTTCTGGTAGCATGGCTACGATTAAGTGTTAAACAACTTGTTAAAAGTAGATACGTTCCCATAAATAGCTGTACTGTGAGAAACTGGCACTTCAGTCAATAAACAGGACAGTTAGTTACGTCATTTACACAAACAGAAAGGTAGCAAAATGTTCACTGCATCGGTGATCACAACAAGAGAGAGGCAATTTCTTTAGAAGCTGAAAAAAATGATGCCATCCAGACGGCACTGACAAAGGCACACTACACGACAACACTGTGGCTATTTGAATGATATCTCACCAGTGGGCTGGGCAGACATTATCAGATATGTGGGATCAACAACGCATGAAAGCAAGTCTAAAGTACAAACCCGGGGTCATCTATAAGCCTCATTTTTGTTTAGCTCTGTGCTACAGCACTAAATACAATCCTTTCCGAGCTCTTGTCGACGAGAAATTGAAGCCAGGGAAGTTACCAAGTTGTTAGCTGCAAAGGTAAGGCTGTTAAGTCAATGATCGCTGTTTCTGTGTTCGACAGAATTATAGGTTTCGTCAAGGGCTATGATGTGGACGTCTAATTTTGAGCAGCACCTTGTGTCTCTTATTAGGGCTATATTGTCGTGATGTTCACTTCATTGTTTTACTTCAACTGGAATCCCTAAAGGTTACAGCATGTTCACTGACAGGGTCATTTTTATCATCCCAAGCTCAGAATTATCGTCTTGGATTTTCTTAACAACTTCATTGTAGTTCATATTTTTCTGGTCCCAATCATCAAAATTAAACCACAAATTGCAGCCTGGTAGCCTGAAAGGACTAATAGAGAAAGTAAAAAGGGGTGTGAGCTACAGATACCCCCACCCCCCTTCGCTTCTGATACTGATCAAAAAGTTTGGTTTCAACTATACTTTTAGCACAATGAAAAAAGTTGTGACAGTGTTTGGAGCGACGGGACAACAGGGCGGTTCCGTTGTCCGCGCTCTCTTAGAGCAACCAGACAACTTCCATGTCCGCGCCGTCACGCGAAACCCCACCTCCCCGAAGTCGCTTGCCTTACGAGCGGCGGGCTGCCAACTGGTCCAGGCTGAGCTCGCCCAGACAGAGAGCCTGATCCCTATTCTGCAAGGGGCGGACTGTTGCTTTCTGGTGACGCGGCCTCCTGTGAAGATGGTCCAAGAGGAGGCCGCAAAGGACGAGTACCAGTACGGTATGAACGTGGCCAACGCTTGCATGGCGGTGGGCCTTCCACACTTGATGTTCACCACCTTACCGAACTGCGAGAAGATTACTGGAGCGGCTGTGCCTTGGAGCGACAGCAAAGCGAGGATTGCCGAGTATTTCAAGGAGAAGGGGCTACCACTGACTGCCATCACACTCCCAGACTTTTATGAAAACTATTTAAGCGTTCTTAAGCCACAAAAAGTCGAAGATGACGTTTACAACTTGGGTAAGTGTGAGAGGTTTGATTTCATTCCGTCTGATGCATTCATACCATTGAAGTGTTGGTTTTATGTTCCTTACGATGTCAAACTATTGCGTAAACGGTTTGAATTATACAGATTTTCTACCTCCCTCCAGCATGCAAATGAATGCTAACCGTGACAAAGATCTAGAGGCCTTCCATCCGTTACTGTAATGTCCAAGCAATAGAGGCTTTCCATGGTCGCCATTTTGCAGTGCAATTCTTTTGTTACTGAGGGAAACAAAAGCTTTGGCCTCCAAGATAGCATTCATGCAAGCCCTCTAGTGTCTTAATTCATTCCTGAAAATTAAAGGACGAACAGAGACATTGCGATTTGAACTCGGATGCCTTCAATCAGTGATATCTTCAGGTCAAGTGGTCCTTTCCATTATAACGCCATGCTGTCTCCGAATTTCCTTATTCAAACACCGGTCATTGCTTTTTGTACCTGTTTCAAGAAATTCCGACGGGGGAGCAGGCCTACAGCTTGATCAACATCAGCTACCTGGGCGAAGCTGTGCGCCACATCATCACCCACAGAGATGAGTACATCAACAAAGACATTACCTTGGCAACAGACAGACTGACAGTAGGGGAAATCGCGGACATAATGAACACGCACCTACAACCAATGGGGAAGACTGTTAGGAATGCTGAGGTAAAAGTGCGAGCCGAGTATTTATTTTAAGACCACTAGACTAATCTTTTCAAAGTTTTCAGGATAGAGGCTCTCCGTGTACGCCTAACTTCGCAGATGAACGATCTGACTGAAGATGAACACACAAACTGGCTGGGGCGGGATTTGAACTTCCGACCTCTGGCACACCTTACCTCTCTCTCTGTCTTTTATTTTTTTCTCGTCCTAGTTCACACTGGACCAGACCAGGGAAAAATACAAGCATAGGGCTGGAATAGAAGATCTGGTGAACTGGTATAAGTTCATCCTGGCTGGCCCTGCAGACCCACAGTATGAAGAGTACAAGGATATAGAGCTGGGAAGAAAGCTCATGCCGTCAGCAAAGTCGTTTGATGAATGGATCAGAGAAAATAAGGAGGCGCTTGCTGCTGCTTTGAGTTAGAGAGTAGGCTTATTTAATACTCACTCCGACAATGATTAAAAATATTGTTTTAACGCTAGACAAGTACCCTAATTGGATTCAAATGAAAATTGACATTATGACGTTGCGCGCTCCCTTTAAATTCTCCTGAAGTTTAGTAGTGAGAAAGGTGACAGAAGCAGATTCGATTCTTCGGATTGTGGCGTTATCCCCCTCCAAAAAAATCCAAATTTCTTACAGTGGAAATTGGATCCTTTTTTTTAACAAACTACAGGCCTGAACTCTGTACAGAAATTACATCCCAAACTGGTGGTTTTGAAAGTGAATACCCATCTATTAATAAACATTAGGCCTAGGTAAGCATTAGCAAAATTGCAATGTGTAAAAAAAAAAGTTATCAAACTACATTACGTAAACTTTAACACATGCAATGTGCAAAATCAATGCCGTTGAAATGCTTTATCCCATCTGTCATGCCTAAAAAACAAGTACTATGTACAAAGTGATTTGTAATGTAAGATCGGAAAGCTGGAGCTGTAGTGGTTCCAGGTGCAAATTAAGAGGGAAGGTGAACCCCAATATAGCTTTTTCATCATTTCAGCAAACATATCCAAGGGTTTGATTTGAAGGCATGCAAGGTACATTACGATGCAGGGTTGACAAAATGCTGGGCAGTAGTTGACAGATGACTAGGAGGTGATCTGCGTGTAGAGAGAGTAGCACCAACTTCACACTTCGGAACTAAAACGACTGTTCATTATGTATGCAGTACAGCATATGCAGCTTTTGCGTGCGAACTGTCCGTGATCACTGATGCATAATCTACTTCGGTTCCAACAATTGAGACTCAAGTCGCAACCCTTACTAAAAAACAGACCTAACTAGGAGTAGTTGACAACATGGCCAAAGTTGACAAGTGGCCCGTTTGAATGATTTACGATCACGGGAGTTGACAGCAGGGTAGAAGTTGCCGAGTCTGGGCTGAAGGTGACAGTGGGACAGTTGACGGCTGGGGACAGCGAGACTGTATTGCTGAGACAAGGTTAAAACCCACACTGGAGATCATTGCCCGGCAGGAGTTGCCAGCGGGTCAGGAGTTCATGACTGGGCGAGGGTTGACGTCTGGGTAGACACTGACATTATGGAAAGGTGGAAAGAAGAGTGGCTTGTGAATCCTGTCAATCCACTACTGCCCTCTGTAACTTACCCTCCCTAAACATTACGTAATTTATGTACCTTACCTGTGAACTCTATAGCAGATTCCGCGTCGATAATTTTCTGAAGAGTCTCTTTGCCATACGCACTTGGCCTTTTCAACTTCACATTGGGCGGGAGGCCTGTGCTTTGAATTTGCCCTGCCTCCAGCTGTTGATAGCTCATAGGTTTGTTCTTTCCGGTTGCTTCTCCTGGAGGTATTTGTAGACACACTGACAGTTGTGTATCCCGTTCCAAAAATACAAACTCGACGTATGGATTGCCACAGGGTTTTCGAACGTTGCTACTGGCAAATGTGAATATTGTAGCATTCAATTTAGCACGTACTGTTTGTCGTTGCTTGCTCATATACATTTGTAATACGCCAACAAGGTGACCACTATATATTCGGCTATGCTGGTTTCTGAATGAAAAGCAAACTTACTGTATTTTCTGTTGAATATCTCCTGTACCTTGAATCTCAGCTTAGAGGAGTATTCTGCTGGGGTCACGCTACTGGATATGGTAACTAGATGCAGTAAACGAACAACGCAAAAAAGAAACCAGTCAATGTTTTTCAAGCTCAATCATATTTTTATACAAGTGTATACAGTCAGTGTGTTGATGTGTACGTCTTGAATAATGCTTTTTGTTTTAATCATTATTATATGTGTCCTTTTTCTGTACACCAGTAATGATCTAGTCGAGACTTTTTGGTTACCCATTTGCATTGTTTATATATGCAAACTTGTCTCAAGTTCTCTTGAGTTGCATTGTGTGCAAATTATTCACGGTTAAAATAATGTTTAATAATTGAGCTTGTTTTATTTCTCATCAATGCCAACAGCTGTTCATTTATCACTAACAAAGTTTAAAAGAGTGCACACGGTCATGTGGCTACCTTTCGTCGAATGAAGTGAGATGGGGCTGCTTAGCTTGACCAATAATTATGTAGGTCGCCAATTATGGTATATAAGTGTGTGCACTCACTACTTACACGAATAAAGATATTGCATACCTTCATCGTACCCACTTGCAGAGCATAACTGGTCGGCAAAACAGGTGGAAGTTGCCAGATTCACACCAGTCTCACTACCACAGACTGCAGAAGCTCCTATGCTTACATTGCTGCAAACCAAGACCCATTCTACACCCTCAACCCTTGAGCACTGTACATCAAAATTTACAGTTTAGTATTAGGCAGTGGCTGCGGGGGGAACACTCAGACTTTGGCAAGCTGTCGTTATTAGACAATCCCTTCGCACTGTTCATAAATTTAATTCGTTTTCTAATTAGGGACAACTTAATGAGCCTTTCGGTGAATTAAGATTCACCAACTCACCATATCAGTTACTTCTTTGCAAAGTTTGTTGGCGAAAACTCTAAACCCCGACTCGCCGAGCTGTACGACGTTGGGCATGGTCTTGTTTTCTTCTGCAGCAACATCCTTGTACTCCTGCTTTTCTTCTTCCGCCATCCGTCTCCACTCTTCTGCCCCTTGCTGCAACACCATTGCCTTGTTGGGAGCTGTACCACCTTGTATTAATACATTATCACATGTCAATTCTACCGTCTGCCAACCAATAAAGATGCAAGTTTTCCCTTTAGGCCGCCATGGATCGTTAGCAGACTACTACTTCGCGCCACGTATAATTATAAACAGACGGTCACTCGGCCTTGGGACTAACTACTTCAAATATGCAAAGTGAACACATTCCGGAATTTGAAAACACCCAGTTTTACTTTATAACCCCATCTGATCAGACTTTAGCTAATAGCGTCGTTTTGCCAACTTTCGCTTCAAAAAAGTCAACTTATCTTTCTAAATCCTAATGGGCGATCTGACCAATTTACTTCAATATCGCCTGTTCTTTTCTCTGTGCGCATACCTTTAGAGCAGATGTACTTCTTCATAAAGACGTTATATCCACTTTGCCGCCTTCTGCGAATGGGTCTCTGGTTCTCCTCCTTTCGATGTTGCTGCCTTCTTTTGTTATCTATCCACCGCTAAGAAGTTGATAAACATTTTAAACACGGCCATGTGTTAGTCATCTTTTGTATACATTCAACACAACAGGAATAGTAAAATGCAGGTTCCGTGCAAAATACGGTCCAATTCCAACCACAAATTAAAAGAATGGACGAGGTACGACTTTTATTCACCCTAACCCCATGGGGTGTGTGTAAAGTTAGATTGAAATTGGAGAATTAAGGTCTGTTAGGGTTAACAGGTGCAACTTCATGGTGATGTCCGATTTCATAATCCCTAGCCTACAGGACGGTCCTTCTAACAACAAAGAAGTTTCTTCTATTACAACTTGAACATCCCTTGATTTTGCCCAAACCACATGAAACTACATGTAGGGCCTACATAGGCCTATCCTATGTTGCAATGTGTACACAATCTAGCGATTTTAAACAATGTGCACTCACGTTGTTGAAAACATATTTCTACACGTGGTAGACAATTATTTATTACCTTTACTTGCTTCACAGTCAAACCAGTTTTTTTGACAGCGAATTCAACCTTTCTTTTCGCTTCACTAGTACCATAGTTGGTCATTCCCTCATCATACAACCTCCCGAGAAGCTCGTGATGCTCCATAGTTACTAAAAATATAAAAGGTGCGTGTTTTAGGTATAGGATATAACACAAATTTCCATCCCACTTGGATTTCCTCTGCAACTCAATAACTGTTTGTTTTTTGCAATTCCATCTTGTATAACGTGATAAAAAGTTTTATACGTGACAACATGCGTACATTCTTCATATCACTATACCGCGTTCGACTTCGAAATACAAGTAATCTTAGTATATGAGCTTACAGGGACAAAATGAACGCCAACTTGGTCAAATTGGCTTGGCCAACGACGTGCTCTGTTCGAACCTGTTAAATGAATCACGCCAGTGTTAAAAAATATTATGAAACAATTTGTGAAGTTTCAATTGCCTATGATACTTTCCCAACCGACACACCAGCTCTACGTGTAAACAGAGTTACAAATGGATTACTTATAGTGCTGCTTTGCCAGTTCAAATGACCACTGCTAAATCGCCAGGATTATTTCTCAGCAATATAAAATATGATATAAGCATTCTGGTTCATCTTTGTGTTAATGAGGCCTGCCGATGTCAATGACATATATAGGCCTATATAAGAATCCCGAAATAACATAAAGCAATTTGTACTTAAAATTAAAAAGGGATCACTAGTCTGCTCATAAACATTACTGAAAATAAAGAGAGAGGCTCATCTCGGGCCAAAGTCAAAGCCTGTAATATATACGTGGGTAAGCACTCCGTCAAAAATACAAGTCCATAGTCCATGATCTTCCGGTACATTACGTAATACATACATACAAGGTATGCGGTACGTCTGTAGGCCCTACGATGAAGCATTATTATAACGTAGGCCAGTACAATGCATACGCCTCGCTTTATTATAATGGCGAGCAGCCACGCAAATATCCTCACCCAACAATAACGAGGCGTCTACAGGAAAATGGCCACGTAGCCTGGCAAGCTTGCCACAAGTATTATCATATTTACATGTAACATTATGTATTACGAACGGTCATGTACGGGTACGTTTCCCTTAAACAAACGTTAAAGCACTATATAAGGGGAGGAAATGAGGCACCTTTCACAACTGGCGTTTCCTATTGTGAAGCAAGCGAAAGAAAAATACTAAAAATCCATTTAATTGTGAATCATATCTCACTGGCCACTATATCATATGCCGGCGCAATCACTTCCACTTTTCAATCTCCTCACTCAGATCGTGGCTTTATATTATGCTACAATGCTGAGGCACGCTGTTACGTACACCGGCACGCTTAGAGCTTGACATTTTCCATGCTTTGGAAGCTGAGTCTAGTTGATGGCAGTATGTAGTCGAACGCGGCTCGACTCCATGCATTTACGGACTCAATTAGACTTGAGGGTCAGATGTTAAAGGCAAGTATGATTCGTTTACCGCCGGATCGCATTTTTATCAGTGTGATATGGATAGACGGACTCACCACCTGTGCCAACTTGGTATACTCTTCTCAAGTGCTAAGTCAAATCTCTGGAAATGGAGCGGCTGGACAGTCGAAAGGTCAAAGAACGAATGTGTGCAACTGAAGGCCTACCGTTCGTGTACATGTACATGTAATACTGTATAATACTGCGGACCATGTCGGCAATCCTAGTGAAGCATGGAAACAGAGTTTAGGCCTTGGCCTATCGTACCAACAAATTATACTACACGTTCTATAAATCGGTTCTACTAGTACATGTGTACACATACACGCATACTGCAGTGTCATAGAGCGAGAGAACTCAGATGAAAAAAGGGCCGCGCCAACCAAACAAGAATGTGCTAAGCCACTGCCTTATGTACAAGTGAAAATATTATTCAGTGTATTATAATGTTATAATGTTGCGTATGTTCTTATGGGGGTACCAGTATAACACATTACATGTAGGCCCATACGACAAATGCGGCCTTGAGGGCGTGCTGTGTACATGCATGAGACAGTACAGGCAGCCAGTCTAGCCTCAGTACAATGTCGGCAGCTCGGAAATGGCCGACTATTCGTCTGGTATGGCACTGGCTATCCAAACATCTTATGGATTATCCAGCCGATAAGGGCTCTAACACTCGTATATGACTGATGCAAATGCTGTCTGCTGGTTCCTAGATTAAGTTGTGCAGAGAATTTAGGACGAGAATGGCCACGTACATCCAGGTTGTGGAGGAATTAACAGACGACGAACCAATCGAGCTGCCCGTCGAGCCGGATGGCACAATGTTATTGAGCACTCTGACAGCACAGTTCCCCTGTGCATCGGGACTCAAGTACCGAAATCCCGGCACGGGCAGTCTGCGGGGACTACGTGTTGTAGACGGCAGAATACAGCCACCAGATGGCGTTTGGGGAGATCACCTGTACATTGCAGTTTTCCCGAAAGGTATGGTGTAGACCAATTGCACAATACGTTGATCATGTTTGTAACTTACATGTACAGACACAGAACTTGGGCCTACATTATAAGGCATGACCTGGTGGCTGAACTGTTTTCCCATGGGGGTTCATTACCATTAGCACCCTAACAAAAAGTCCATTTTCATTCATTCTTTATTTATTTCACCAAATTATATACGGTTAATGTACAACAAATAAGAAAATGATTGTGGATGGGATCCCATAGTAGAACCATTGCTTGTTGAGTAGGGATCCCATAGGAACAATAAACTGTATAACGAACAGTACAATAATTATGACAAACAATTAAACAAAAAGACAAAAGACATATACACATTAAGTCTTGTAACCCTGTAGGCCTAAGGCACCAATATTAAATGGTGTTAAATGGAAGTTAAATACCCACTTAATAGTTGAGCTTTATATTTATGCTTGAATGTTTGAAAGTTCCCAATATACTTTACAGAGGTGTCGAGGAAATTCCACAGCCTGGGGCCCTCATGCTTGACTGTATTTTGTGTAACAGTAGTACGTGCAAAAGAATGATGAAGTTCCATGTGCTGTCTGGTGAAATGATGATGCACTTCTTCATTTTTTGAACAAATGGATTTACAATGTAGGTAATTTTTTAGTGTTTAACTGGTGCATGAGGATCCCAAGCTGAAGGAAATATATATCATTTACTTTGAGAGGTTTGTAC